TTTCCTTCTCATTCCCTCCCTCCCATCACTGCCCATGAGTTGCTTAGTTCATTTTCATCAGTGTCCAGTGCAGCTGATGGGCCCCACTGTTGTATGTTTTCCCATTTCCCTCTGATTCTGTATCCTCCTCCTAGTTTCCCTCAAATGTGTGTACATATGTATATATATATATATATATATATATATATTATATACCATATATGTGGTCAACAGCATAGGGTCATTTAGTAATGATAGGACAAGATGAGTGGAGGGCCTTTGTTTCTTGAGTCCTGTTTACTTTGTCATTATCTCCTTACATTTTGTATTTAACATCTATATATCAGGGATACCATCTGCCATTTGTCTCTTTGCTCTTGGCTTACCTCACTCAAAATCTTTTTTTTTTTAGTTCCATCCATTTCCCTGCGAATGCCATTATTTTGTCCATTCTAATGGCTGCATAATATTCCATTGTATATAGGTACTACAATTTTTGGATCTATTCATCTGTAATGGGGCATCTGGGTTGTTTCCATATCCTGGATATTGTGAACAGTGCTGCAATGAATATGGAGGTGCATGTGTCCTTGTATCCTGGTTCCTGTTACTTAGGATAGATGCCTAGGAGTGGTATGGCTGGGTCATAGGGGAGGTCTATATTTAGTTTTCTGAGGTACCTCCAGACTGCTTTCCAAAGAGATTGTATTAGTGTAAAACTCTGTCTCTTAAAATTTTTTTCCGGTCCTGGGGCTTGAACTCAGGGCCTGGGCACTATCCCTGAGCTTCTCTGTGCTCAAAGCTAGCGCTCTACCACTTGAGCCACAGCCCCACTTCTGGTGTTTTCTGCTTATATGTTACTGAGGAATCAAACTCAGGGCTTCATGCATGCTAGGCAAGCACTCTACCACTGAACCACATTCCCAGCCCTTAAAAAATTATTTTTGTAGATTTTTGTTTTGTTGTTTTGTTGGTGGTGGTCATGGAGCTTGGACTCAGGGTGGACACTGTCTCTGAGCTCTTTTTCTCAAGGCTAGTGCTCTACCACTTGAGATAAGAGTCTCATGAACTTTCTTGCCCAAGCTGGCTTCAAACTGTGATCTCAGATCGCAGCCTCCTGAGTAGCTAGAATTACAGGTATGAGCCATTGGTGCCCAGCTTGTGGACTTTTTTCTTTTGGTTGGTTGTGGGGCTTGAACTCTGGGCCTGGGTGCTGTCCCTGAGCTCTTCAGCTCAAGGCTAGTGCTCTGCCACTTGACTCTGATTTTCTTGTGGTTTATTGGAGATGAGAATCCCATGGAAGCTGGGTGCCCATGGCTCACGCTTGTAATCCTAGCTACTCAGGTGGCTGAGATCTGAGGATTGTGGTTCAAAGCCAGCTCAGGCAGGAAAGTTCGTGAAAGTCTTTTTTTTTTTAGGTCCGGTTGTGGGGCCTGAACTCTGGGCCTGGGTGCTGTCCCTCAGCT